GCCTATTTTGTAAAGGAGTTCTTTATTTCGTCCTAAAAATTTTAGATCTTGGAGTTTGTCGACGCTATCAGGAATATCAACGTTGCCGAACGAGCGATTTTCTGGTTAGATTAATCACCGCTAATTGCCAGTGCATCTGTGGAAGAAACGATAAACTACCTTTCCGATATCCTTCTGCGTATGAACTACCAGTTAGGGCATGTCAGTGAAAGCCCTAGAAGAACTGCTTACGCATTATGCACAACATGTTTATTTTCTCTGCAGTGGCCAACTGTGCAACCAAATAGACGGTGTGGTGATGACTTTGCAGCACGGACCGTTTCTCGTAAAGGTTTCGACAGGCAAGGTCGAGAGAACGAGCTCACAGGATACCGTAGATGACAGATGATACCATCGACATGGACACCCGGATCAAAAGTTTGCTAATGCACACCCCTTGCTAAATTTTTCTGTGAAGTCTGCGGCGAGTAACAAAATCGCGTTCTTTGATGTCCTTCTGCATGCATGTTTTACTAGTCTTAAAGCGATACGTCTGACAACATTTAACATGAAACGGCGCGAATTAAATCCCTACTAGTAGTGCACAGTGGAGCATCAACGTATACCCCTCGCAGTCCCCCCCCCCCAGCCACACACGTGGCTCACAGGCAGGCCCTGACCGCAGGGGCCCAATGGAGTATAGGCGATGGCTAGGGGAATAACCACTTCTCCGACCCTTATTCTCACAGGTCTATCAGCGTTCATATAGTCCCAACCATATCAAGGTCTCCCCTTCCTTAGCTTTAACAGCGTCACTCCCGTCATTTGACTCTGTCCCCTAGCAAGTTGATTAAACAACATGTAGTCGGTTGTAGTGAACACTTTATTAATGTTAATCGCGGTGCAAAAAGGGTGTACATACAAGGGATCCAGTAGGTGGGTGCTGGGCTGCGGATCATTCCGGACGATCGTTGTCCAAACCAACTTGCCGTAGGTGGCGCGCACAGGCAGCGGTCACCGTCGCCTTCAAAACGCTCCACATTTTGAAGTAAGCATTGTTAGCTTGTTTGTGTGGGCAGGGCCGAAATTTCTTTCGGAATACCTCCCATTCAAAATGAATCACTGTAGGAGGGCATTGTTAATCAACGAATGCATCTGTCTCTTAAAAAGATCACACGCCGTATTCCCTTCCAGAATCTACTCGTCGGCGCTGTGACGCACAGTATTTCCATCGAGACTGTACCTCACACCAACATAGCTGTCAGCACTACAACTACTGTGACGGGTTCTGCTAATCAACATGGACTTGTTGAAGCAAACTCATCCCCCCCCTGCCACTTCCAATTCCAAACGGCGTTTCTGTCGTGCAGTCCGCCTACGGACATCATCACCTGGCAGCTCCTCTGAAGCCCGACAGTTCGACCGTCGATTTCGACGATGTCCACCGTGTGCCCCACAGCTGCAGCAGCGGTGGGAGCAGGGACGGTGACTTGCGCAGGGGTTTATAGTGCGGGTAGACTTGCGTAGCATCTACATACACTCTCTCCTCCTCCCCCGCCTGGGCCCGGTGTCAAGACAGAGTCAAGAAGACCGGAGACGAGGGAGGCCGCAGGTGGATGGCTCGGACGGATCCTCACCTTGGCGTTCCACCACACCCCCTGGTCCACACAACAATAACTAGGATTTCAACCAACACAACAGAGATTTGGAGGCTGGCACGGCCGAAGCAGCACCTGGGCGTGCCGCCAACGCCTGGCTCGGATCCCTCACTGTGGTGGGAATGCCATAAAGGCCACATTAAAAAGGAGCCATTGCAGCCTGACTCTCAGACCGCCTCCCGTTAAGGAGGAGGTCCAAGGTACCCCGTCAGTTGGCAACCTTCCAAGCCACGGCTTTTAGCGCATCGTGATAGCTTCAAGCGCGTCAGATTGTTTATAGTGAGGAGAAAGTGCGCTGAGTCGTCGACCTCACTCTCCCTTCCCATCCCCACACCGCAGCCGCAGTCCGAGCCGGTCAGCAGACTGGAGTGGGAAATGGGCGCGGTGGCTGACATGATCGACTGACCATGCCTGCGCGCGCCACAGCACGACCTGGCCCCCCATACACACAAACACCAGGATTTCACACAACGGGGGTTGAACGGCGTGTCTCCCACTTGCGTGAGAGTGCCGTGGAAGGTGCTGCTTCAGCCCGTCCCCAGCCCACCAGTCCGACACTACACACAACACACACGAAACGTGACGAACTGCGTGAACCGAGAGCGGGCCTCAATCAGCAACCTTCCTATCCACGACGCTTGACGTGTCGGGATAGTCTCGGACACAAGTCACCCGTGCAGCCGAAGCCGCATGGGGACCGAGTCGAGATGCACACTTCCCACTTGCGTGGGAGGCGGCAGTTGAGTGCATGAGGTGTGTGGGGGTTGATGTCTGGTTGGGTGATGGTGTTAGGAGGTAGGGAGTGAGGGAATGTGTGGTGTGACCGGCGGTTGTCTACCGCAGGTCGTCGTCGATGCGCATGTGGCCGAATAGACCCATGCGATGCGTGAAGGTGCGAGGGCAGTGTGGGCAGTGGAGGCGAGTGCGGTGGGTGTAGGCTGGTGCTCCAGGCACTGGTTCGACGGTCTCTGTGTGATGGATTCGCAAGTGACCGACCAGGCCGATGTGTGAAGTGGAGGTGCGATCGCAGTGAGGGTAGATGTAGTCCTGGCCCTCACGTCTGATGATGGAGGTTGCAGGGCTTGTGCCTGTTGTTGTGCCAGGTTCGGCTGTGGTGAAGTCGTGGGCGACAGACGCCGAAGCGGCCGTCGTTGTGGCAGTGAAGGAAGAAGAGGAGTAGGAAGGGGAGGAGTGAGGGGTGGTAAGGTCGGTGGCGTCGATGTCGGCTGGGGAGTGGTTAGTGGGTGCACAAGGTGGTGGATTGGGAGTGGGGCTCGGCGGGGTGGGTGTGTCAAGGCTGCGGTCAATTCCGCTCTCGTAGATGCGCATGTGGCCGAATAGACCCATGCGGTGAGTGAAGGTGCGAGGGCAGTGTGGGCAGTGGAGGCGAGTGCGGTGGGTGTGGGTTGGTGCTCCAGGCACTGGTTCGCCAGTCTCTGTGCAATGGATTCGCAAGTGACCGACCAGGCCGATGTGTGAGGTGAAGGTGCGGTCGCAGTGAGGGCAGGTGCAGTCCTGATCCTCATCACTGGGATCGGGCGAGGTGCGGGTGGTGGCGGTTGTTGTGTTGGGGTTGGTGATGTGTGGGACGGCAGTCTGAACGGCCGCCGCTGAGGCAGTGGAGAGGGAGGAGGAGGAGGACGACGAGGAGGAGGATGGAACTGGTGGTTCAGAAGGAGTGTCAAAGTTAGTTGGCGACAGAGAGGACGAGGAAGAGGCGGGCGGGAACACGATGGCTGGAGCAGTTCGAGAGGTGCCGTTGATCCGAAGATGTCCAACAAGTCCGATTCGTGCCCGGAATGTCCGTTGACATCGAGGACACGTAGGGAGCGGTTGTGCGGCGGCGTTGCGTACTGGCCGAGATTGTGATTTGCGGGCTTCGCGTTTTGCTTTGGCGGCGGCGATGCGGTTGGCTTCGTAGATAGCAGCGCCCGTCTTCACTGTTCTCCTCCATGTCGGACGATCGCGGGCGAGCTCTTCCCAGTTGGTCGGGTTCATTTTCAGGCGCTTCAGGGAGGACTTCAAGGTATCCTTGTAAAGGCGAATTTGGCCTCCTTGACGACGAGAACCCGTCGCGACGTCTCCGTAGAAGAGTCGTTTGGGTAGTCGCTCGTCGTCCATGCGCACCAGGTGGCCGCTCCAGCGCAGCTGCATTTGGCTCAGTATGGCGTAGATGCTGAGGATCCCCGTTCGTTCCAGTACTTTCGTGTCGGGGATTCGATCCTGCCAGTTCAGCCGCAGGATGCGACGAAGACAGCTGAGATGTAAGTGGTTCAGTCGGCGTGCCTGCCTCGTGTACACCGTCCAAGTCTCCGCTCCATACAGTAGCGTCGGCAGGATGACGGCTTTGTACATCTTCAGCTTCGTGCTCAGTTGGAGACCGTGGCGATTCCAGACTGTGCTTTGGAGGCTACCGAAGGCTTGACTGGCTTTCGAGATCCTGTTGGCGACTTCGTCATCAATCTTGGTGCTGCGTGAGAGGGTACTGCCCAGGTACGGGAAGTTCTCCACCACTTGCAGTTGAGTCCCATTCACGTTGATTTGCGGCGCGTTGGGGGCTGTTACTGAGTGGGGTGGCGGTTGATGCATCACCACCGTCTTCTGCGTATTAATGACCAGCCCAAAGTTCTCGCAGGCGGCGGAGAACAGGTCCATGCTCCGTTGCATCTCCTCTTCTGAGGTGGTGTTCAGGGCGCAGTCGTCGGCGAAGAGGAGGTCGTGAACGGTTGTTGTGGATACGCGTGATTGGAAGTGCATTCGCCGTTGATTCAGCAGGTGACCGTCCGTCCTGTAGGCGATGCGGATCCCGGGGCGTTCGTCGCGGTAGGCGTCCATCAGCATGGCAGAGAACATGAGACTGAAGAGGGTAGGCGCCAGCACACAGCCCTGCTTCACTCCATTAGTCACTGCAAATGCCTCAGAGACAGCTCCGTTGTCCGTGACTCGCGCCATCATACCGTCGTGCAGCTGACGCACCATCTGAGTGAATCGCTCCGGACAGCCGAATTTCTGCATGATCTTCCACAGTCCTTCACGATTCACCGTTTCGAAGGCTTTCGTCAGGTCCACGAAGGTAGAGTACAGGTGGGTCCGCATCTCCTGGCACTTCTCCTGAAGTTGACGGGCGGCGAAGATCATATCCGTGGTCCCACGATGACGACGGAAGCCGCATTGGCTTTCCGGCAGAAGGCCCTGTTCCAGATGGCTGTTGAGGCGGTTGAGCAGGATGCGAGCGAAGATCTTCCCGGCGATGTTCAGCAAGGAGATGCCACGGTGGTTGTCGCAGATTTGGCGATTCCCTTTTCGCTTGTATAGGTGCACGATGGTTGCGTCTTTGAAATCTTGCGGGACTTCACCTTGACGTCACATCTCTTGGAAGAGCGCAGTCAGGTGATCCATCAGTTGGGGACCTCCGTGCTTGTAGACCTCAGCAGGGATTGCATCCGATCCAGGTGCTTTCCCGCTGGAGAGCTGCTGCACGGCCCTGATCGTTTCCTGGAGAAATGGCGGGAGGTCGAGGTCCACGTTGGTCTCCACTTGCGGCAAGCGGGCGACGGCGGCGTCGGAGATGACGGAAGGGCGGTTGAGGACGCCCCGGAAATGCTCGGCCCATCGCCGTAGGATTTGCGTCTTCTCAGTCAGGAGAGTGCTGCCGTCGGCGCGGAGGAGAGGAGCAGTGCCCTTAGTCGGCGGACCGTAGACAGCTTTGATCACAGAAAAGAAGTTCTTCCATTCCTTGCGGTCCTCGTAGCCTTGGATCTCCTCAGCTTTGCGAGCAGCCCAGGCATCCTGCATCTCGCGCAGTCGTTGCTGAAGCTGTCGGCGACTGCGGTAGAAGGCAGCTTTGGTGCCCAGCATTTTTTAGACCACCTTTTCTAGGCCCTTCCCCTCGTGGGGGCAGGCAGTGCCGTCCCTGAATCGGGCTGCCCATGTGCCTGGTTGGCGCGACCGAATCCCACTATGGGGCCACGACTTTTATGTTCGTAGTGGAGAACGACCGCATGTGCCGTGAGTCCGCGGTCTCCATCGGCGAGGGTGGGCGCGTCTCAGCGAAGGCGATGCAGAGACCCGTCCCGGCAGCAGTTATCCAACGGCGTACCAGGCAGAGCCTCGTCTCGACGATGCCGGCGCAGTGTTTCATCCGACCATCCATCCAGCGGAGTCCGCGGTACGCTGTGCACTCGGCACAAGTGCACAGCGCCCTCACCTGGTTTAGCCCGCCGGTCGCGACGGTTGCCCGGGGTGTGGCCGCTGAGCAGAGCCCAACTACGTGGAGCCACAGGTGAGAGTTGGGTGCCAGCAAATGGACGCTAGGTGTAGTCTTACCTGCAAGCAAGTGAGCGACCACTACGACCATCACGTGAACCTACCGCTGGACACCCCTACACCCCCCTCTGAAGCTCTACGATACAACGGATGTTCCGATCAACCACCGGCGCATGTGGTGGTATCATTTAGTTAATGAGGCAAGTGCAGTGCTGTGTGTCTTTCGTTGCACCGTCATTACCGTTATCAACTACGTCCTTAAGTCTTATCCCAACCTACTTGGACTCGACTGGATCAGACAACTAGGCTTGAGCGATATGCCATTCCGCGTTGTTTGCAATCAGATGTAGTTTCAGCTGTGCCTGCAGGTCCCACCATGGACACTCTGCGACGGTTCTTCCCGGTGCTTCCAGACGGCTTGGGTTGCTTTACATACATTCAAGCTGTGTTACGTCTGTGATCCTGAAGTCTACCAGTCTTCCGTCGAAAGAGACCAGTATGCAGCCTTTCCACTTGTTGGTGTTGAATTAAAATTTCTGGAGGGACTGGGGGTTCTGATATCTGTATCCTACCCCACCAGAGCTGATCAAATCGATGTGGTTAAGAAGCCAAATAATTGGATTTGCTTTTGTGCTGACATCTCTTCTGGTCGCAGTGCCACGCCATCGCCAAACTACTGTTCACTGCCAGTTGCAGCTGATCTGTTCATTGTGCTGATTGGCGGCACTTGTGTGGCCAATCTGGATCTGGCTGACGCGTACTTGCAGATCGAAGTCGCCAACGATCGACACCCACCGAGGCCTGTTCCAGTCCACCAGGCTGTCGTTGGGTGTCAAGGCCATCCCGGCTCTGTCCCAACAAACAATTAATGCAGTGATATCTGGCATTTCGGGCAGAGCCGGACGCCTGGGAGATATCACCATCATGGGTCGCTTGGCCGCTCAGCTTCAAGACCGAGTGTGCGCGGTAATCAAATGCGCTCAGGAGTAGGGTTTACGCTTGAGGGCCGACAAATGTCAGTACTTCTTCAAGTCGATCAAATACCTCGTCTTTGTAATCACTGTTCATCACTCAGGTCCGAAAATATTCGTGCCGTTCAACGGATGCCTACGACCAGTGGTTTATCATAATTTCATTCGTTCTTTCGCCTGATCAGTTACTATATCTCCTTCCTGCAATTGCTGCTTGATTTGCAGGCCCCGCTTAACCGTCTGCTGCAGAGAAGACTTTCTGGTGCTGGTCACCTAACCGTGAAAAGGTCTTCGTCCAGCTAAATTCGATGCTCATTTGGGAGCTGCAGCTCACGCATTACAGCCCAACACTGCCAATCGTCGTTGTCGCAGACGCTTCCAGCCGCGAAGCCGGTGCCGCTATCGCATGCTTTTCTCGGCAGGTCTGAAAAGCCGATCATGCGTTCACTTCGTACGCTGAATCCCGCGGCGAAAAGAAGTTCATCAAGCTGCTATATGATCATCATTTCGCGTTGCTGATGGACCATAAAACGTTGCTACCAATCTTCGTTTCGAAGAAGGACACTTCAGTTCATTCAGGCAACCGGTTTCAACGATGGACAATCAGTCTTTTCGGTTACAACATTGATACCCACTTCTGCCGCACAACCATTTTTGACCAGACTGATGTCCTTTCTCGCTTCACCCGCAATCATCAGAAACCTGGAGTAGACACAGTGTTTACTGCTACTTCGATTGAGGCCGATGTTCGCCGTCGGATTTCGGACGCCATACATGGTATACCTGTCACCATTACCGACATTCTACGTGATACCTATCAGAATCCTATCCTTTTCCGCGTCATCATCTACGCGCAGAAATGTTGGTTAACTGCTGTTCTCAGTGGCGATTTTCACTAGGTCTTCCTGAGTAGCGTATCGCTTCCCGTAGTCAATGTTTGCCTCGTTTACGGACCACGTGGCAATTATATCTTCACCCTGACCTGATAGGCCACGCCAGTTTCATCTGTTTACACTGGCACCGGTCAGATGAAGTCTACTGCTCACTGTTTCGCCTACTGGCCAGAGACTGACAGCGACGTCGACGATCCGTTTCGGCGCTGTTTCTGATGCCAGAAAACTGTCAAAATGTCCCCTCAGTATCCGCCAATACTCTGGCAAACTCCTCGAATGCCTTGCTCGCATGTTCACATCAATTTCGTTGATCACTTGACGGAGTCTCATACCTCATTTTGGTTGAAGCCTAATCAGAGGGACTCGAGAATGATATGCTGAATCCAACGACTACATATGCCGCTAGTATCTTCTTGCAACGCACTTCCAGTTAGCATGGTCCCCGGAAGTTCTGGTTTCGGATACTGGTTCCCATTTTACTTTTTAGACGTTTGAGCAGTTTTGCCATTAACGCAGGATTTAGCACATTCGTTTTCTGCTCTGCCGCCCTCAATCTAAAGGTCAGGTGGAATGTTTTGTCGACACCCTTACGAAAGTTCACTTGAAAGCTCGCGGGGAGAGCACTACGGACGAGATAATGCAGACCATGCTGTTTTCTTACAGAACTAATTTGAACCCGGCCTCCTCTGGCGGCGTTTCTCCTGCCAAAGCGTTAGTGGACCGCAAATTGCGTACAGAATTTCACACACTTGTTCCTACCTGTGTGCGGTTCGCGCGGACAACTTTACCAGTCCCGCAGTAAGCTTCCTGTCGGAACACCCATCCTTATTCGAACTAGCTCTCCAGACTGGATTGGGGCGACCGTTGGAGCTCAAGGAGGAAGTGCGTTATTTGACGTCCACGTCCATGATGACATCTGGGCTTGCTACCATGACCAAATCCGATAGTGACGTCATGGTAACGCAACTGGACCTGGCGCCGCCACCGCCGCTGCCCACGCTGCCGATAACAATACCATTGGTAAGCCTCTCATTCACCCAGTTTGACCATTCTTCCTCTGTTGGGATTTTTCGCCCTAACTCCGGTCTGAGAAGGGAGCACTTGTGGTGGTTCTACCCCGAGCGCCTGTTGATGTGTTGTGCTTCTCACGCTTACTTCCACCTTCGTACTAGTACCAGGCTGTTTCCTGGACAATCACGACTATTCAAGCCGGCCAGTTAACCTCAAGGCCGAATCAGGAATACCCTCTTTGAAGGTGCTATGACGACTCCTCACTCTCACTCGAGATGCCCGCTCTGCCGGCGCCGGAGGTTTGCCCTCGTTCAGCTACCAACTTGTTCTAACCGCTTCTCCAGTCATTCTGTACAGAACGCGATATCCCCCAGCTGGCATCTGACTCCTCTTCCTATTTGAGACCGGGTCTGGAGGTCGTAGTGACTATTATTTTTCTTATGGTTTTAACTGCCGCGACACCATCGCTTACCCTCGACATCCTGCTGAACACTTTCGGCATCCCAACAACGTGGTCCGTTTCGGAACCAACTGCTGCACATCCTTCAAATGAGCCGTTTTCGGTATCAGTTGACGTCTACAAAAACCGTACTCGGTAAAAATGACAACTTATGTGGTATGAATCTTTTCCATTGGTTCTCGATGCTCTTTTGAATTCAACTTATATTTTATAGAAAACCTGCACAACAATATTCTTCCTCGTACTCATTTAGTGACAAATCACGTCTTCTTTAAATGTTTGCTTGAAGAAAGTATATATTTTGATTTAAAAACTTTTCCAATCCTCAAATGATTTTTAAACCGACTAGCAGTGGAAGTTACGTCTAGGATTTTTAAATACACGCTGCAAGTCTTCGGCGTAAGAAAAATCATGCACTTATGCAAGCAGTATAGGGATCATAAAATTTTAAAGCGACTGTGAACCATGTTGCAAATTTCATAAGCATCACTTGTAAATGGACGGATACGATGCTGTATGAATGGACATTTTCTGGCCCAGAAATCTCATCATTGTGGATTTATCAAAAGTGCAGGGCACTGTTTGACCAAGTGCAAAATTTGAAAATGCAATTTTTTATCTAATGGGCACAAGAAAGAATATTTTAGTGCATGCTGTCCCTAAAATATATTTGAAGTTATGAAGGCATAGAAAACGAATGGACAAATGCATACCATATAAATAGTCATATTTTACCGCATATCGTTTGGTAGGACGACCGGAAATAAAGTTATTCCAAGCTGATATCCTGTCGTGACTGAAATGCCTTCGGATTATGCTGTTAGATAGCAAAATACTGTAAAACCACCCAACCACTCCTTTTTAATCGAAAACGCATTGCAAAGTTTCGGTTAGCATTTTATGAAATAGGCCAGGTACTGTACCTCGCCTGACGTTCGAGCAAATCTGAATCGTTTAAATATATATTTGCCGTACAACGCGAGCACATGCCTGCCTGGCTAGGTAGAGGTGAAAATCGACCGATTTCGGGTTCAATTCTCGCACATCTAACCGATACGAACCACCAAGCCGACGCTAAAGAAGCCGTTAAAGTTATCTACCGGGCACCAGTACGCTATTCTAAAGGCCTGAGCAAACGGGTGCTAGCCACAGCCGAAGCAGTGGCCATTCGACTAGCGAACCCAGCACTCTGTTGCCAGAAGATGCCGACACAAGCAGTCTGTCTGCCCTGGCCGACTCCAGACGTTGCTCGCACGCCGTCCCGACGCCCTGGGAGCAGTCACACGCACTCACAGCGCTTACAATCTAACCGGAACCCCTCTCTTTCCCCCTCACCCCTCCCACCCCAACTCCATCGTCCTCAACACGCTGACTACGTCATGCGGCCTGCGTGGCAGCATGGTGCCCGATTAACCCTGCCCCTGAGACGCATTTATATCCTGTCTACAAGTTGAATGATCATTACCCATGTAAATGTACTGGCCTGATGATGAATTACCGAGAACATATGTTTGTCAACTGACTCTTAAATCGTTTAAATTTGTTTATTGCAGAAGGACTAATCCTGGCATCGCTAGGAAGCGCCATTGTTGGAACCACTGTCGGACGCATTGTCCCAGTTGATCACCGGTGTCTCCACAATTTCCACAAATGGTGCCTCTTTAAATTAGGCAATCGGTCTAATTTCTTATAACAACGTTACCTCAACGTAAGAATTTTGACTTCGCGGTTTGTGTGCGATCAAAGAATTTCCGAGGAAATAGGAAAACTTATAATTTGGGGTGCATATGTGCGAGAAAGCAAATTGTGAACGCTGAGGTACGGGCTAATAAGTTGCGGCATGCAGTTCCACAAAGTTGGAAAAACACATGTCTAAGCCCCCAACTGATGCCAATTCTGCCAGAATGATAAATTAATCACTGCCACTGAGTGCCTTTAAGCCTTTTTCCACTGAACGCAATGGATTTCAAATCAAATATGCATATCTGCTTTCTGACCAAACCTGAAAATGTTTGTGCGGAAGAACTTACCGAGAGTGTTTAAATACTACAGTCTACCTATTTACAAATTGTGAATGGTTCACGGCTAGTGAGTTAGCGCTCGTGGACTTCAGTTCAAGTATTCATTCCTATTTTATGACCGAGCCCGATGGATTTATGGCTTAATAGTGGGAGGTTATTTCACATGTCCATTTTTGGGGAACTTGTAAGTGATAAACCCATAAGTTGGGCACTGTAAGTAGGTCATCCGGGAAACGAAGATAGAAGCATCCCAACAGCTACAAACTAGTAAATAAGAACAAAGTCGTCAGCAGGTAAAAATACACGTGCTAGTTCACAGTCTCATTCAAAGTTGTGCCAAGTTCTTTTATAAGCGTATTGTAACTGATTAAAACAAAACGGACTTAAATGTCACTACAAACTTAAGAGGTTGTTTGTGGAAACGTGAGGCAAAAAAATTGAAAGACGTGGGGAACGCTCAGGGACCGACTTTTCGGACGAACCTCTGTCAGCTCCGTCAAATAACGGCATAAA